GAGCTTAAAACTGGTGCACTGCCAAGGGGCTGCAGCTTCTGTGGTCTTACTGCCATGCCTCAGGGCAGTTGCTGCAACTTGCGTGCTAGTTAAATAGACTAGATCTAGCTATGGGTAGCCTCTTGAGTTTGCTCCACACCAGGTCGCTAGCGTTCTAGAAACAAAGAACCAACACCAATTTGGTTTTGTTTATCGTGTGTTCATGAGCTCCTAGCCCTGACTAACACAGACATGTTCTGCCAAGGCTGCCCAGATGATGTCTTCCTGGTCAATAGTCAGAGGGTTCTCTTTTAACTCTCAAACGTTTTAGTTCTCTTGCTTCAATGTTCAGTTTCTTGAAGCAGGTGACCTGACAGACAAGTCCCCTGATCTGTTGCCCATCCAGAAAATGTGCTTTTATTTATTTATTATTTATTTTTGCCCTCAAGAAACTAAAAAATCTTTTCCACTGATAGAAATATTCCCAGTGTCATTCAAAGGACTCTGAAAGGCACAACTTTGCTCTTGATCCAGGGGCTGCATGCAGGAGAGCAAGCAGCAGGCCAAAGGGAGCTGTGAGCACTTGGCTTTCTTCCGTGCAAGTAGCAGCATCATTTCACCACTGGCTGGGGTCTGACCTCATGGGCTTTTGCAGTTGGCTCTTTCTTTCTTTTGTTTTTTTAAGAATCAGGGCAAAGGAAAGAGGAAAATTGGGAAGGGGTCTACAGCTTTAGTCACCAAAGTTCTGAGACTGGAGCAGGGGCTTTACGTCCAGGTTGTGGGGGAGAAGAAGTGAAAGCTAAACATTAGTCTAAAAGTCTTACAAGATGGATTGGAATAAAAAGTTGAATTCATTGTCATAACCCAAGTTTTACAATGTTTGATAGAAAACATTAATATTTAATGTTCTCTCTCTCTCTCTCTCTCTTTTTTGAGACAGGGTTTTTCTGTGTAACCTTGGCTTTCCTGGCTTCACTTTATAGGCCAGGCTGGCCTCGAACTCTAAGATCTGCCTGCCTCTGCCTCCCTGAGTGCTGGTATAAAAGGCATGCACCACCATGCCCAGCTTCTAAATTAGGACCCTAATACAGGGAATTAATTATTTAGCAAGGGTTAAGGTGAGCCTCCATTGTCAGGGGTGGTCCCTTGCCTGAAGACTGATCTGGCCTACCTCTTGACCAGAAGGGCTTGTTCTTTTCTTTTTGAGTCAGGACCTCTCTATATAGTCCTGTCCTAGAATTCACTATGTAGAGCAGGCTGGCCTCAAATCAGAGATCTGCCTGCCTCTGCCTCCCAAGTGCTGGGATAAAAGGCTCATCATATCCAGCCTGTTTTCTCCTAACAGGCCTTCATTACCAATTTTAAACACACACCTCTCCCCAACACACATACACAAACACACATACATCCTCACGCATGCCCACACAAATAGGTGTTGTAAGTATCAATTAATATTTACTATTGATATATCTTCTGGTAAAGCTTGCTGTTAATCCTAAACAGCTGTATAACCAAATCACCACACAGAGACTGGGTTTATTTAATTAACCTGGAACACAATGCTGGGCAGGAATTACTCCCTCTTAAACCTCCAAGCCCTCATAGTTTCCTAACATTTAGATTTTACCCATTATACTTGCTTTTTGTGAAATCTTAGGTCTGGTTCATTCTCCACATCGTTCCAAGATCTGTTCTCCAGCCTTGCTTTCCTAGCTCTGCCCCCCACTTCCGCCCTTTTGTCTCCCACTCTTTTTTTGTCCTCTGACTCCTCCCCTCTCCCACCTACTCCTTCTCTATTGCTCAACATTGTGGCTGGTTGTTTTATTTTGGATGTTTACACAAAGTTGAGACAGGTGATGCTTAGAATAAGTATCACAATGCAATATCTGGATTGAAACAGGGGGGGGGAGAAATCAGCATTTGAATGAACATGGGTAAGGTATATACATTTCAAAAGAACATTATACCAACATTTCCCCCTTTAAGTCAAATAAAAGGCTTCTTTTCTTTCAATACAATAATAATTATGAAATTATGAAAACTGTTAGGTAAAGTCTACATGTGCAATGTCCAGTCCATGTGTATTTAGCAACTTAGGAGAAAGTATCTGATTATCCTATCTATCTTGACAAGTTTAAAGTTCTATACCTAAATTAACTTTTATCCTTATTGGTGTTATCTATATTAAAGGGGTTTCTTAACTTCTAAACAAGTTAAGCTTAATTGTGGCACTATAACTATTTGATCTTCAACACCATCAGAGACTTGAGAAGGAATAAAATCTGTTATTAGAGTAAATAGGAAGTACATGTTAGCAGCTTCCAAAAAATAAAAATTGACAGAGACAGTTGGCTGCCTGAACAGTCACCCATAACTCTTTATAATGTTGGAACATCATCTTCAGCCTTCTGGCTCAGAATATTTGACAGACATAAATGTGAAGCAGGAACTATTTAGGACTTGCTTACCCTGTCTTGGCAGAGTTTGGCAGTCGACTTGTCCTGCATTTAAGCTTGCCCATTTTGGGCAGAATTCTGTCTGTCATGATGCAAGGGTATTTTCTTTACCCAAGTGGCTTGTTTGTCACATTTGAAGCCATCTCTATATGGAGGTTCTTGATGCTCATCATCTTTGAGATAGGTGGGGTGCTGACCTGTCTCATTGTCAAAGGATCTTTAAAATAATAAAAACATTTTAAAATGCCATATTCTGTAGGTCTACCTATCTTTATGTAATTGATCTGTCTACAAAATCATATCTATCTGTTAAATCTAGGATGTATACTCCTGTGATAAATTAGAGTAGTATTTGACATGACTATGAGTTCAACAACTAGCAGATAACTTGCATTACCTAATAACTAAACCCATTTTTAATAGCTGTTTAAAAGTATTGGAAGTAACCTTGACTTTCTATCAACATACTAAAGCTTATACCAATATATCAGAAATATGTATTTTTGTATCAATATGCAAAATCCTATGCCAGAGTTAAAATTAACCTTATTTGAGAATAACAAATAAAATCCTAAGTTGAGTAGATTCAATAATTTATCTTTTGTCTTATTCCTATAAGATATCCCTGTATACTCCAATCTTTCTTTTAACCCCTTTTTTCCTTATCTAAGAAAGATAGAAAAAAGAAAAGAGAGAAATCCCTAAATATAACCTTGTTTCACTCTGAATACAACCATTAATAATTATAAACATCTCCCAATGACAATAAACATTCATAACCACAGAAAACCACCAAAAACCTACCCAACCCCCTTTTAAGGAAAACTGGATGTCGTTCTCATGGATTTCTTCTAGCTGACATTTTGGACATGCAGAAATCCTGGTAGGGCACCCCCCCCAAAAAAAGGGAAAAATTGGTTAATTAAGCAAGCAATAACATTTGTGGTCCAGTCTTTGAATGATGAGAAATTTCAGGCTTAATAAAAGTCCTGTTTGGAACAATCTAAAATGCTGGACCAATTAAGATTAGTAGCTTTCTTTAAAGATCTCTTGGGAGCAGGCTTTGACAAGAAACAGCAATTGAAGCAGTTGAGGCAGGAACAAGCAGAATGCTGAAACATGCAAGATGCTGGAACAGATGTGTCAATGTCTCAGCACGCTGAAGAATGAATCCTGTCAGGTTTGATCCAGCATCTCTGGTGTCCAGTTCTTTTGCAAACCTATAATTTCTCACAAGCATTATAGAGTTCTAAAATGTGCAGGATGCAACTAAGCTGTAAGCAAATTTTATCTATGCCAATTAAAAGATTAGCATAATACATTTTGAGGATATTATAGCCAAGGATTTATTGGCCAAGTATTGTTGGAGTTCTGGCTGGAGACATTTTTTTATGTTTCAGTCAGTTTCAGAGTTGTTTCCAGGAAAAGGGATTATCAATTTATGTTACCTGTTCTGTTTGATCTTCTTGATTTCTCTCTTCTTGTGTGTGGCCAAGGTCTTCAGGTGGTCTTCCTCTGTCATATCTGATTTTTATTAGTTTTGAGGAACCCATAATTTCTCTTCTCCTGCATGAGCATAAGCAAAACCTCTTCCCCAGTGTAACACATTCCCTACTCTTCATTGTGAAGTTAGGGTATCTTTGAAATACATAGGCTGAAATAACTTGGCAGTTTTTTCTATTACCCAGTGTCTCTCCGCAACTGTTGTTTGTTGTTCATTAACATTTAAGAAATTTAAGGTCAATAAAGCATTATGTAATCTATCTCTGGGGGTCTTTGATACCCCTCTCTGTTTGTTAAGCATGTCCCTTAAAGTACGATTGGATCTTTCAATGACTGCTTGACTAGTAGGATTGTGAGGTATATGTGTTACATGTTTTATCTTATAATATGTAAAAAAAATCCTTCCAGTTTATTAGAGACGTACGCTGTAGCATTATCAGTCTTAATTTGTTTAGGTATGCCCATCACTTCGAATAAATGCATAATAACTGAATCAGCCTTTTCAGAACTTAAGGCTGTTGCCCATTGAAACCCTGAATATGGGTCTATAGTATGGTACACATATTTCAGCTTACCAAACTCTGTAAAATAAAGCACATCCATTGCCAAATTTCATTTCTTTGGTTACCTTTGGGGTTACTTCCTGCAGGTAGTGGAATTTGGCTATATAAAGAACAAGTGGGGCATTTTCTCACAGTTTCTTTGGCTTGTTGCCAAGTGATAGAAAACTCTCTTTTTAAACCTTTGCTGTTAACATGTTGTTTTTTTATGACATTCTGGGGCCTCTGACATGCTTCCTATCAACAGTTGATCAATTTCCTCATTGCCTTGTGCTAGAGGATCTGGTAAACCTGTATGAGATCTGACATGTGTTATATACAATGGATTAGCTTTCTGATTACTTGTTGTAATTGAAGAAACAGTGATGTTAAGTCCGAATTATCCTGAATTAGATCAGCAGTTTCTATATGCAGAACAACTCTTTCTGCATATTAAGAGTCAGTGACTATATTAAGAGATTCCTGGGCGGGCGCCATCCCGGAAGCATGAGCCAAGCCGCCAGATGTGCAGGCATCAGAGGCCAAGGAGAAAGAGATGGACCCCCCAGACTCAGCCTCAAGGGTCTTCTGTGGCTGCTTCCTCAGCATGGTGAACACTGATGACGTCAATGCCATTATCCTGGCCCAGAAGAACATGACACTGAAAGGGAAGCTGGCCAGGCAGCACCTGGAGGCATTCAGCCATATCCCAGAGGGTTCATTCCTAGAAGATGAAGACGAAGACCCCATCCCGCCCAGTATCACCACAACGATTGCCACCTCCGAGCAGAGTACGGGTTCCTGTGACACCAGCCCAGACACTGTCTCACCGTCCCTCAGTCCTGGTTTTGAGGACCTGTCACACATGCAAACTGGTTCTCCTGCCATCAACGGCCACAGCCAGACAGATGACGAGGAAGAGATGCATGGAGAATAGCCCCGCTCCTCCTGGGGTCACAACCAGTCAGCTTTGCTGCCCCATTCTGTCACAGGCAGGGACCCTAAACTCCTGCCCCTTAACCCTAAGAATGGGATTTCCCAGTGCCAGCACATGCTCCCCAGTTGAGGTGGTGGGGCTGGGTCCAGGTAACCTTGAGTTCAGCCTGGGCCAGCTTTGAACAGTGATTCTACGGTCCCCACAGACCAAAGCTAGATGTCCCCCACACCCTGAGGGGCCGCTGGCGGTAGAAGGTGCCAGCAGGGCTGAGCTTGTTCTTACCCACTGACAGCTGCTGGCTTAGTTCTGGCCTCCCTGCCTCTGTGGAGGACTTTTTTCCTGTCATGTTGGATTCTGGAAGGCTAGAAGGTTTGAGATAGAGGCAGCCAGACTCTGGGGAGCTGTGTTTCTCACAGGTCCAGCAGGCGTCTCCAGAGCTGGCCAGCCACTTTAGAAAACAGCTGAATGGGCTATTTTTGTACCCGATGTTTACAGATGTTGGGAAGTTATCAATAAAGACTGTTCTGAACAGGGGGAAAAAAAAAAGAGATTCCTGAAAATCTGATAACACCAAGAGAATTGCATATAATTCTGATTTTTGAACTGAATCGTAAGGACTCTCCACCACTTTGCTCAGATTTTCTGACTTATATATAATCTGCCCTTTTTGATTTATTGGCATCTGTATAAAATATGGGAGCTCCAGAAATTAGAGTTCCTTTTACTGTACAAGGGAGAATCCAATTGGTTCTTTTACAAGCTGAAGTCACTTGCTTTTTGGGTATCTGTTGTTGATTTCTCCCAAAAATTCACAACAGTCTCTTTGCCAATATTCGTTGTCTGCCCATAATGACACAATCTCAGCATTGGTAAAGGGCACCCCAATTTCATCTGGATCTATTCCCAGCCAGTTCACAAAGTCTCATTTTTCCTTTTAGGATCAATTCAGAAACCTTTTCTATATAGGTTTTTAATTTTTTATTTTGTTTGTGTGCCAAAAATATCCATTCTAAGTAAGACATAGTCTTCCTTCTGTATAAAAATTCCTATGGGAGAATGAGCAGAGGGCAAAATAACCAAAATGCAGGCCCTCTTTGGATCAATATGGTCTATACATGCATCTTGTAATTTTCTTTCTACCAGAGCCAATTCCTTTTCAGCTTAAGTTGATAACGTTCTTGGACTACTTAAGTCCTTATCAGGCTGTAAGATTTGAAATAAGTTACTTAAGTTTTGAGTAGCTAAACCAAGGGTAGGCCGTAGCCAGTTACTATTGTCCAGCAATTTTTGAAAATCATTAAGAGTTCTTAACTGTTTTGTTTTGTTTTTTTCTAATTTGTACTTTTTGTGGTTGAATTTTCTGTAGACCTATTTTATATCCCTGGTAATTAATAGAATCTCCTCTTTGAATTTTTTCGGGAGCAATCTGTAGTCTCCAACAAGGCAAAGTTCTATTTATTTCATCAAGAACATTTTCTAATGTTTTCGTATCTGAATCAGCTAATATGATATTATCCATATAGTAGTAAATTATGAGTTGAGGAAACTGCTTACGAATTATCTCCAACGGTTGTTGTACAAAATACTGGCACAAAGTAGGACTGTTTAACATCCCCTGCGGTAAGACCCTCCAGTGATACCTCTTTATTGGACAGCTTCTGTTCAAAGTGGGTACTCAGAAAGCAAACCTTTCCCTATCATGTCCATGTAAAGGAATTATGAAAAAGCAATCCTTTAAATCAATCACTATAATAGGTCATTCCTTACATAACAAGGAAGGCAATGGGATTCAGGATTGTAACGATCCCATTGGCTGAATAATTTTGTTAATTGCTCTTAGATCTGTTAATATCCCCCATTTGTCAGATTTCTTTTTGATGACAAATACTGGGGAATTCCAAGGGCTGTTGGACTCCTCTATATGTTGAGCCTCTAGCAGTTCCAGGACAGGCTGTTCTAGTGCCAGGAATTTTTCTTAACTTATAGACCATTGTTCAGTCCAAATAGGCTGGTCTGCCAATCACCTTAGTGGTAAGGCTGTGGGAGTTTTATTAGCAGTGGCTTCCCAACTTGAAGTTGAAAAGACCGCCTCTGCTGTTTTTTGTTATGGACAGCCTGGATAGTCTGTAACTGTTTTTGATGACATTTTTTAATAATTTTAGCTTCTTTATCAGGAGTATTACCTGTTGTTTGGCTTGCCTCTGAAATTGGGGGGAATGTTAATCTGGGTTTTCCATTGATGTAACAGATCTCTTCCCCAAAAGTTTATGGCTATCTGCCGGTTGTGCTGGTGCACACTGGTAGGATTTGCTGAAGTTTATGGCTATCTCAGCCACGTATGGCCTTAATTTTCCTATTTGACCTTCTGGTCCTGTACATTTAAGCCATCTGACACTTTGTTTCACTTTAGATAAAGTTACAACTCCTTGGAATTGAATATCCACCTCTTGAAGTGGTCAATTTGAAGGCCAGGATTTAGGAGTGATAATTGTGACATCAGCCCCAGTATCTACCGTGCCTTCAATTTTAATATTATTTAAAATTAACTTTAACTTTGGTCTTTGATCATTTATAGAGGTTTGCCAATATATTTGTTCTTTTCCTGTTTTTTTGATTTATCTATAGAATCTGCTTTGGCCTTGCTGTCTAAGTTTTTAATGTTTATTCCCAGAACAGTGGTGTTTAACTTTCTTGTGGAGGAGTATCCCTGTCCTGTTCTGGGGCCTGTGAGAGGCCCCCTTGGGCATTTTTTGATAAAGGATTACCCCATTTATCTGTGACTGCTCTACACTCACTAATCCAATGTCGAACCTTATCACATCTTCCACATATTCTAGGAAGCATAGGCTCCCTTCTTGAATTATTTTGGTGTTCCTAGTATGTTGGTATAATGTTCTTTTAAAATGTATACACCTTACCCTTGTTCATTTAAATGCTGATTCCCCCCCCCACACACACACACACACTCTGGTTTCAATCTGGATATTGCATTGTGATACTTATTCTAAGCATCCTGCCTCAATTTTGTGTAAACAGGCCAAAATAAAGCAACTGGCCACAATGTTGAGCAGGGAAAGGAAGTAGGTGGGAAAGGGAAGGAGCCAGATGGCAGGAAATGAGTGGGAGGAGAAAGGAGCTGGGAGAAGAGAGCTGGAGAGAGATCTTGGAATGACATGGACAGATGGACTGGACCTAAGATATCACTAAAAGCAAGTATAATGTGGGAAATCTAAGTGTTAGGAAACTATGAGGGCTTGGAGGTTTAGGATGGAGTAACTATTGCCCAGCATTGTGTTCTAGGTTAACTAAATAAACCCAGTCTCTGTTTGGTGATGTGGTTATACAGCTGTTTAGGACTAACAGCAGCTTTACCAGAAGATATATCAAGAGTAAATATTAATTGCCACGCCTACAACACTGGTAATTTCTTTTGTAGTAATCTCACTCATCATAATTACAACATTTCCCAAGGTCTTTTGGGGTAGCTTCTCCTATCAAGGTCAAATTGGGTGAATGAGGTCTGATGTCAATCGTAGTTCTAATCCATTCGTCTATTGGAGCAGATCTTGCTCTTAATGGCTTTATTGCATCTTTGCATTCAGTATTAGCATTTTCAAAAGCTAAAGATTCTATTAATGCTTTTCTAGCTAGTGGATCTGATAATACTTCTATGCACAGCTTAAGTCAATCTTTGTAAAAAGTTAGTGAATGTTTTACTTGCACCTTGTATGACCTTGGAGAATGGCTCAAGCCTTTTTCCTGATTCCTCAACCTTGTCCCAAGCATTTAAGGTTGCTAGGCAACATGATGCTAAGGTTTCTTCATTATATACAGCTTGTATCTCTGTATCAGCATACTGGCCATCACCAAGCAGCTGTTCCTTAGAAACACCAACAACTCTGGCTCTATTTTTGTGCGCTATCTCTCTAGCTTCTTCTCTCCACCATGAAGACTATTGTAAATATGGCCCAGGTTCTAATATTGCCTTTGCCATATCCTCCCAGTCCTTGGGGATTACTCTACTTCTGATTGACCAGGAAGTCAGCATTTGTTTTACAAATGGTGAATACATTCCTAAATTAGTGACACTTTCCTTAGATTTCCTCAGATCAAGCACTTCCACAGGGCGCCATTCAGCTTCACGACAGTACAGTGGATGATCATAACCTGCTTTTCCCTGCTGTGTACTGACTGGATAAGCCAGCGTTTGTTTTTCTATTAACCACCTTTGGTTGGCTTTCTTTATTTTTGTCTTTTGCCTCTGCCTGAGTATATTCTTTACTTAGTATTGTAAACTCGTCTCTTAAGGTCTGCACCCATATTTCATACCTATCTCTCTGTTGTTTTGTTTAATAATCTCTTGAATCTCTTGTGTTATGCCTCGCTTCCAACTTTTAATTTTTTCTTTATATTGTTCTAGTTGTTCTTTGTGCTGTTCCAGTATCTTTTCTAAAACCTCTACCCTATCTTCCTGTTGTTTATTCTGTTCTGCAAGTTTTTGTATCACTTATTTTATGTCCTTTTTCCAACCTTCATTTTTTCCTTTATAGTGTTCTAGTACCTTTTCTAAAGCCTTTGCCTTCGTGAAGACATAAAAGGCTAATGCAATGATTAAAGTTAAATTGAGGACTATGAATGTAAGCATAGTCACAATTTCTAGACTTTCCTTTATTTCAGTCTTAAAACCTTAGAATAGATTATAGCCAAGCTCCAAGAAGTCTGTTTTAGTGTTTCTTCAATCCTGTTAGACTGTAGTAGCAGCCAGTTTAGTCATGTTAAGTCTCAGGTCTGACCACAGTAGGCTGCCATTTGCTCCAGGGCTAGTTTAAAAGTCTCTTAAAGAGACAGTAATTGACCTGGGAGTTTTTAGATTTTAAGTTTGGTTTGTATCACTGAGAGCTTATTCCCCCCACTAAATTATGATAAAGTATAATTTAAAGGGTGTGGATACTTAGATTAGTTGGGCGCCATTTGTTGTAAGTATCGATTAATATTTACTA